GTACATCACTGGGTCTCATTCCAGCGAGGATCATCCCATGTATGGAAAAACAGTGAAAGTGAAAGATTCTTGTCTCCTTGATCTTCTTGATATTCCAGTTGATACAAGTTCATCGAAGTATATAGGACCTCCACATTTGATGTCGTCTTGAAGTTGAGTGAATCAGCGCAAGGATTTCCTGTCCGTTGATAAAGTCCGATGATCTCCCTTTTGCACTGAGTGTTGCCCGGAGTTTCATAGAAACATTGATCCCACCGTCCTTAGCATCGGTCACTACCTGTTGCAATGGCATCCTGAGCTTTGCGTCAATAATGTGACATCTCGGACCTCCTGAATCTTCAAGCTTGTCGGGGCCTGGATCATCATTTGCTTCCTTGACCCAGTCAATCCAAGGCTGTTGATCAGGGTCGTTGGCAGCAACAATGATTTAAATCGTTGACCTTTGGACATGGGGGTACCACCACGTTCGATTCCTCTTTTCTGGACACCCTTGCAAACAACGACACTTCATGAAGACGCTGCAGTGGCCTCGGAAAGTTCATTCTTCAGCTTTCAGGTTTGGCTTCCTGATCTCTGACTTCGTCCAATTCCTGATGGTACAGTTCGTGGGCTTCTGTACGCCGTTCGTATACTTCGTCCCGTGCATCTCTGTACCTTTTAGATCGCTTCATTAGTCTTCCTTCATCCTCTTGCTCTCTGAGTGAGGAAACCCAGCCGGGGGCTTGGTCCCTCCTTTGGCGCCAAATCCCTGACTGGTAGGCATCAAGGATAAGGATTGCTTTTCCAACTTCAAGCTGGTGTTCTCCCTCCGTAGGTCTTTGAGCATCCTCTCATTATCGGCAATGATTATTTCCATGTTCTATATTCTACCAATCAATTCTAGTTTCTCTTGGTCACCAAACCGGGTGTTCCTCTGATGTTGCAGTTGCTTACATTCAGTAGCATTGTTTCTAGCTGTAGTTTCGAGTCATTCCATAGCCTCTCTTGAGTATCTTGGCCTCAAATTGAAGACGTGAGACTTTCGTTTTTTCCGCTGAAATCTCCATTTGATATTCTGCATGGGTTTCTGCATCTCGATAGCTAATCTCTGCATGTGCATTGTGCTCAGCACCTTTCAGTGTTGCCACTCGTGCTCTAAGATGATCAATGACCATCTGTTCGTGGTTGTGACTCGCATTGGCATGTGACATTTCATCCAAGAGTTGAAGCTGTTATTCATTCTGCATCTGTTTCTCCTTCTCAAGCTCTGTGATTTCCCAAATATTCATATTATCATCTTGAAGGGCAGGCGTTCGTGTCTACAGTTGACTAGCAACTTGTCTCATGGCCATGTTCCATTTTCTGATTCATAGCGCGGGAATCTGATTGTTCTTCATTGCTTTCCTCAGTTAGCTCAATATATTTCCCAAAGATGTGGTCCGGTCTGCCATCTGTTCAGCAAGTTGAAGTTTGTGTTCAAGTTCTCCTATTCTGATGGTAGCACCTTCGTCTTCCTGAACCATTTCTTGCAGCCGAGTCTCTATGGTCCGTCCATACATGGATACATTCGCGAATTCTTCTTTGGATCTCTGATATAGGCCAGCGCATCCAGATTGCGAATGCGAATATTCTTCGGAACGAACTGGTAAGCCATGTTTGATGATGTCTGAGTTCTTCCAGTAATTGCACCTCTCTGCTCGCTTCCTTGTGGTCAGGACTACCACTGGTGATTCTCACTTTCTCAATGCTTTTCTTTGGCGGTCGATTGTGAGTCAACCTTGGCGAAGTAGACCTGCTGAGGGCTCTCTTGACACCATGGAATCTGTTGGCATCGTGACAATGGAAGCATCGGTTGAACTTACACCTGTCATTCCTCCTGACTGTGGCATATTTCCTCCAGGAGCGGCACAGGAATAGGCTTCACTTGTATTCCCACCAGAACTTGACATTCTTGGTCATTGTAGTTCAATGGTCTCTCTGTAGCTCGTACCCAGAGCGGGTACGGCTGGTAACCCGCGTGTAGGTGTTAATCGAAGGATTATCGGGAAAATAATATCGATCACCTCGCGGCCACATAATCGATCTGCGCACAATCTTTTTCTTTATGCGGGCGCTTGAGCCAAAGAGTGCGTCGGCAATGTGCATTATTCTGTACACATGCTTAGCCGAATACTACTATATAATATATGTACTCTCATTGCACGGCTACTGACAGAAACAATAATCCGGACAATGGGACTGCATGCCGGTGGACATTGACCATCTCACCTCGGAGTTGCTACACACTGTCGCTGTGGCATCGAACCCTGTGCACGAACAGATTGGTCACTGACTAAACCAGCGGGTTTGCAAACCTTTTGTCAACTATTATGACTATTGCGTTGGCTCGACTGGCACGCTCCAGGCTATCAGGCTGACACAGTTGGCAACTCATCTAACTTCAAATGTGACATACAGGTGGGGTTGTGTAAAAACCCTCTGCCTTGCCCTATAACACTTTTGATGTTATTCTTTCTTCCCTATCGTTTTACAGCATGCAACAAATGTAGTAAATGTAGTATAATGTAGTGTGTGCACTACATGCATGTGGTGTGTGGAACCTTGCAGGCATGAAGACATTAGGCACACTTCATTCCAACTACACCCATGTGGTGGCCTGCCCACGGAAAGGTGTTTTAGGCTCGTTGTGTTATCGTTTGTGTGTCGTTTTGTTATCGGTTTCATGCCCGGTGCAAGTTGGAAAACCATGTGGCACAACAATGCTGTAGCACAAGGCTACAGCGGTCCAAGCCCTCCCACCTCTGTCCAAGCACATGCCCACCAAGAGCAGTCATGCATTGACCCTGACAATTTGGAACAGTAGTAGGTTTTCTGTTTGTGTGTGCGCACGCATTTTCTTCACACCACTTCTTGCATGTCAAGGGGTTTTCCAAAAGAGTCATCCCGGGGTTATCGCGTTTTTTCTTCCTTATCGTTTTACAGGGGTTTGAAGTTGAGCATGCTTCAAAAAAAACGGACATGCGCATACTAATTTCTTACCTACATGGTGAGTCTTTATACTCTCTCAGGTGGTTGATACTCCTATCCTTTACACCCCTCGGCCTCTGCATGGTCCTGGCACGCAAAATTCAACAGCTTGCAAACGTTAAAATTGCGTTTGCCCCTGCCCACGGACAAGGCAGGAAAGACACAACTATTGAAGTGCAAGCTTCTGATCAAAAGGTTCTTTCACACAATTCGTACAGATCACCGCTCAGCCCGACCTTCACCAGGTTGGCTCTCAGAGTGAGTCTGCTGTGCCTGGGCCCGCTCTTGCGCCCGCGCACGTGGGCGCTCTTCCGTGAGTCCGACCCAGTGCCGGTTGGCGAAGTGAAGCTCCAGCCCTAGGGCTGAAATCAGTCCTGGCCATGGCGTGGATGGAAGTCCCGAGGGGGATGGAAAGTCTGGCCGATGGATGGGCGTTTCACCCGATGGATTCACACTGAATCCCACAACCCCAAGATCACACCAAAGTGAAGTTCTTCGTGACTTTTCTTGGGTCTGTCAACCTGCCCTAAAGGAGCATCCGACTGGAACACCTGGCGCATATGTTCCTTAAAGCAACCGTCTGTCCCATGGATTTTCTGGATGTCTTTGGTCACCATGGCCTTCGCATGGTCCAATGGATGCTTTTTGGTCGTCGTTCTTGGTCAAAACGTGGGACTTCCAAGGCTTCAGGTGGTGCTTCGATGCTGGGTATGTCCACACCACGGACAAAGGGCCAGTCCAGCGCACAGCGCACGGCGGTGGTTTTGGGTGAGTAGCGGACACTTCAGCCAACAGAGGGCGCTGTGGCTCAAAAAGAAGACCATCCAATTGTAAGCATGTTCTACCCTCCCGCGAACACACATGGAAGTGGACAACCCCCTGTTTGCCAAGGAATACCGCCTTTCCAGGGACCTTTTTCCACTTCGATGAGTGGAAGGGGGGAAAGAAAGACGTCCTGTTGTTCCACTGAGTCAGTGTCCCCCGATCGATTCCTGTCACAGGCCCCTCATCAACTAGAATTCGGGTTGTTCCAGACAGCTGGCCAACTCTTCTCCCCACAGTTTGCAGCACTCCAACGCTAGCTTCTAGTGGGTTTGGGGATGTTTGGAGTTTACCGCAACGCTAGACTGCTAGACCCTCAGCCGGTCCTCTTGCGGACACCAATGGATCTCCACTTGGATTCGCACGGGAGCTGCTTGCAAGCGTGAGCTGCTCAGATGAGCCACTGTGGCGTGGACTGGACTTGTTGGTCGCGGTGCTGCCCATCGTCGCGCGTCGGCGTCGTCTGGAAAAACGTCGAACGGTCACGACTTGAGCCCTTGCTAGGCATGCCGGGTGTCACAAGCCATCATCACGAAACGACTGCGGACATCAACGGTTTTTGGAAGTGAACGAAACGAAAACGAGGCTCTTAAGAAACCTTGATGTACGCATGGCTTAGCTATGTGTTTCCAGGTTCAACTCGAGCTTCTCCACACGTCCAGACCGCTCAGCTGGAAAGCCTCCCAAAGGATCCAACTCCCACGTCGTCGACCACCGAAGCCATCCGTTCCGATTGGAAGGGACAATCGGTATAGGAAACCCATAGTTTGGTGTACAGGAAACCACCCCCAACCTATGGGTTTCCTGTAGGTTTTCCCTTTTAAAGCGCGTCTGGGATCAATCTGAAGCCAAAGACATCTGGCTGACCAAGCCCCGATGACCAACACGCGGGGGGGCGGGGGGCGAACCCGGCGAAGCCGAACGACACGTGCACTTCTTGTTGTACAGTTGGCGAATCACTGCCATCCTGTGATAAGAAGACCCAAATCATCTGTGATCGTATTTGTATACTTGCAAGGTTCAATCATCTCCTATCATGTATCATCTTCAATATCTTCCAACATCTGCGCCAGGATGATGACAGCCTGTTAAATAATAAGGCTGCTTCACGATGTCACACCACTCGCGGGCAATGCTTCATCTCTGAATCTCTTTCACCCACGGAATTCCACCTCGTCGGTGAGGTACATGAAGAGCCAGTTGGAAAAAACCAAGTCGAAAGAGGTGGGCTCCAGCTGCCTGAAGAGCTCCCCCGATTCATGCCGAAGATCTGCATGGGGAATAGACTCATAGGGCCTCCCGGCCCAGTTACTGGGCAGACTGGTCGACCAGGCTCTTTGGTGTCCACAAGGTTGGTGTGGAAGTTCTCCCTGTTCAAATGTACAGCCATATGACATTTGGGGGGCCACCTTGTGACTGAACGACTTGCACCGAATCCGGGCAGATTCGGACGAATCGCCTTCGTCCTGGTTTCCGAGAGTTTCCGAGAGCCACCACCCGAAACCCCGGGTGCATGATTCAAGGCTTTCGGAGGGGGTTCCCCTCCGAAAGCAGGGAGGTGTGGGTTTCAACCCCCGTCATGCTCACAGCCTGCATGTCATGAAACCTACTCTTTCGCATCATGCGACAAACAGCGGATCTCCCGGCCCTGACACGGACTGGAATGACACGGACTGGGCAAACCACCGCCCTGGAATTGATGGTTAGCATACCAAACAGGTGGTGCCATCCACGTAACCATGACTCCATCGCTCTTCCAAGGAGTGCACATTCCTTCTGACGCGTGACGCCTGCTTTGCAGGAGCAACCTGAGGTTTCACCCCGTCTGTGTTCTGCGTCCCTTCTTTGTTCAAGGCGTTACGGTGTCCACGTGTGCAGCGGTGCAGCCGGGCCACAATGCTGTCACATCTGCCTGCATCAGGTCGTCTCTTTTCATGGAATTCGTGACCAACGCAAAGCAACCAACTATTGGTGAATATGCCTTGAAAAGGGGTGTTCTTATCTATCTATCTATCTATCTATCCAACTCATCTCAGTCCGGTGTGTCGAAACACATCGGGGCGAGGCCGAAGCCACGCTGGTCTCCCGCGCCCCGGTATGCCCCTCTCGTTTCGAGTCCCGCGGGTACCGACCTGCGAGGCTGCTTTTTGGAAGCGAAATTGGGCCATGAGCAGAAGGGGACGCACGCGTCCAACCGTCCAAGTGTCCTAGTAGCAGAATATCAGAATCTGGGGAAAAAAACCAGACGTGGTAGCTCTCCCTGGTGTATCCTTGCCGTGTCTCTTGCTAGTCTGGCTTCTTTTTGGTTGCTTTCCCCATGCTTTCCTCCTCGGATCATCGTCCCCATCGACCTGGATCACTTCCAAGTTCTTCTGCTCCGCGTTGGCGTGCCGATTCTCCGCGCAGGCCGCCGCCACGAAGTCCACCGCGACCACCCGGCGCGCTTTCCTGGCGGACGGGAGTGACGGCGTTGGATCGCTACTCCAGCAGAGGTTGAAGAACCCTATAGACTATCCTATAGGTACCCCCCCGGTAGGGTCCTATTTACGGTCACTTAACCTCAGTAGGCTGTATATAGAGGTCTATGGGAGTTACACACCGGGCAACTGGCCAACAGCCAAAAACAAGACCCATCCAAAGGACCAGTGACGGGTACTACACTCAAACTGCCCTGAAGAGCCAAAGCGTTGCTCTTCAGAGCCAGGTCGCTTTGGGCCAGAAAAAATCATCGAGACGTGGTACCCGACCCATCGATGAAAGGACGGTTCATGACGGATGAAAGGACGGATTCACCACTGGGCCTCTATCACTTGCGCCATCGATGCTTCGTTTTTGCCTTTGGGTTACGACTTGGCCTGGTCGACCCGAACGCCTGCGCTCGCCGGAGCGTTTCGCCCTGCAACCACGGTTTTCGCCCTTGCCTGGCCAAGAGGCCACTGAAGCGGCCGATGCCCGCACCCAGCCTTGGTCTTGAACGACCGTGGCGTGACCCGAAGCCACACAGCTAACGGAACCTTGGGTACCCTGCTTCCTCCCGTTTCCAAGAAACACAAGGCACACCTAAGGCACACATGGAGAACGCCACGGTTTGTCAAGGAATAGAACGCCTGAAACGGGGAGGCAGAGGTTCCACAAAGCCAATGCTGGAAAGTCGGTCCCCCAGCATCCTCAGGATGGCTATGATGGTGGCTCATGTGGGGTGTGCGGCAACTGTCGGCACATGTCGGCGCACAGGAAGACACGAGAAGCTCAGGTTTTCTTGGATCAAGCTTTCCAGGTGGCCGTCCAGAACCAGGCATCATGATCAGCCACAGGGCACAGGGGATGGTAAATTCAGTGTTCAACTAGTTCGCATGGTTTTGGGATGGTTGTGGTTAATCATCTAAGTCGATCTAAGTGCATCTTCCCAGTTGAACTGCTTGCGATCGGATCCACCGAGCAAGCAGAAGCCGTGGCTTCTCACTCCTCGCTTCTCCTCACACGTGGCGGGTGAAGGTCTTAGTTCCGGTCCGGGTGGAAAAGTCACCTGGTCACCTGGACCCCGTTCGTGGCGTCCGATCGCTCCGTTCGTAGCGATCACCTGGAAGCAGAAGGCAAATTGATGTTCAAGCTCCAGGGGTTACAAAGTGATGGCTGGACCACATGAAGCTTTAGAGGTGGAGAGGGTCTCTCATCACTTGCCGCTGCTTCAATCTGCTACCTAGACCTGCACCAAACACCGAAGCTGATCCAGCAACACTCAGCCAAAGGGCTCCAGCACATCCTTCCCCGCGACGCTGGGGATCTGTGAAAGGATCCTCGCGGCGAGCATGCGCGGAGCATGCGCGGGCAACTGCGTGCTGAGTCCTAGGCACCATGGGAGTCAGTCAAGTGACGGCCCAATCAGCGTTTGGAGGCGGTGAGTGACAGGCCTAAAGGCATCTGAAAGGCCCTGAAAGGCCAAAGAACCATCTGTTATGAAGCGGAAGGCCCCTGTTCCAAGGCTGAAAGTGACTGATATCACAACATGGAGGTTGGAAGGAAACTACTCCAGGGTATCCCCATGCCACTCCCCCAACGGATCTCTGGGCCAAGCATCTCAGGCCGTTCCAGCTTGTCGATTGAGGCCGCGTCAGTGTCAAGCATCATCGTCTCAATGGTGGGGGAGGAGTGGTCAGCCCAATATTCCTGGCACTGTGAATCTTAGCGCGGTGTCCTCAAAAAGAAGGACTCACTTAAAAGAGTTATAATACATATATATATATATAAGTATATGTTTATTCTACGTTACATATTATCTACTTACACAGTGGTTTCAGAGTAGATGGCACAAACCGATCGATCAGGCCGCGACGTCCGAAGGGCTGCCGACCTGAGCCAAACATGCCAAGGCCCCACCGTGAATTCCGCTCGCTCGTTGTCCAGTGTTTTCCTGAATGCACGGTGAAGGTGGCTGAGAAGCAAGTTGATTGATTTGAGTAGTGCAAATGTATGCAGCATTCATCATGTGAGGCAGGGAATCCATTACTGTAGTTCAATGTTGCCATAACACCCCATTGGGGGATAACAAACCTCCGGTCTATATATATCAAGATCAAACACGGCATGGTTGGGCACAACAAAAGCCAAAGCCTTAAGAGCTATACACTACATTACATTGCATTGCATGACATCACATCAGCATAACATAACAAAGTACAACATACAGTCAGTAACATAACATGTACATACCATTGTATCGCATTGCTTTCCATAACATGCCATACCATACCATTACATTACTGTACGACACAGTAGAAAGATCTACATTGCATTACGTACACAACAGTACATTACAGTCTATTAAACTTTATACATATACATACAGAAGCAAAGGTACAGTACTTTACAGGGTTCCCACATGCAAAGTGCAGCATCAGCAGGGTCCCTCAAGTTTTCAGGCATCAAGTCCTAGGCATCGTGGACCATAAGCCGCTGACATTTGGGCAGAAATCACGACACCTCTTCCACTTCTTCTCCCCATCTCACGGCCCATTCCCCACGATCCGATATGAGGCCTCCACATCGCACGTGCACACCCCCACCGTTCGAACGGCCGAGACACCTTTGCAGCGCGTCGTCACCTCGGTCCGTTTTCCGTGCCGCGGACCGTCACCCCGGGGAACCGGGTCGGTCGACCGACCATCCGGTCCGCCGTGGTCCGGTGGGACGACGGCAAGTCGCTGACGTCGAGCCATAAGCACACACCTGGGCCCCTGGGCCAATGAATCAGCATGCCACCATCCCATCCTTTGTCTGATCCCATGCCAGGTCACGAATGGCCTTCAGCTCCCTGAAGCAACTTCGCCATTCGATGCTTTTGTACAAATGTGTCCTGAGCATGAGGCATCTATGGCCATGTGTGATTGGGCGGAGGAAAAAAGGCTTCGGAAGCACGATGTGCTGATGGCAACTGCTGAGGCATCATGCAGGTTTTTGATCTCCCATGCAGCATGAAATCAGCCTACATATATTTCATCAAAGACCCACCTGGTAGCAAAGGTAGTATGCGGGTTCTATAATATCATATAACGTTAACTATAATGAGCAACTATACGTAAAGGGTTGAAAACAACCACAACCAACACTCGAAATGTGACGAAAGCGGTTGATCACATGCTGCGCTTACTGCTTCCCCGCTCTGCCCTCATCGCACATTCAGCACCGTCGCAGCGGCACCCCTTCGGAAGGCGGTCGTTGGGAATCCCCTCCCACAGTCCACGAACGAAAAAGGCACCCTGGAGCGCGCGCGCCTCTAGGAATTCGCAAACCGGCCGTCTATGTCCTTGACCCAGAGTCATCAGGGGTGATCGATATTGATCGATGCTCGAGCTACATTGCAAGCTCACCTTGCAAGATCTTGCAAGCTAATGCCAGTGAAAGGTGGTGACAGCCCCCTTCTGTCAAGAACTTCTCACGCCCATTTCCAGGTGAATTACCGCTCAAAACACCCCCCTTTCCACTGCTCTTTCAGACGCCCTTCTGCACCGCTGTCACGGCGAAGCGTCAGCTCTTCGCCCTTCTCGATGTCGCGCAGGGCAAAGATTTCAAAGGTCTCCTCGGCTCGAGCAGTGCACCCCACGGGAGGACACCGGACCCATGTCGTGAGGCAGAGTGAAATGACCAGCATCCACCTGCAGGTCAAATGCCCGGGCCCTCACTAATCGCTCACCATCCATTTGACTCAGACTGGACTCGTCCCGCTGAACCAAAAGGAGCACCCACCGGATTCCTCCGACTCTCCCCTCCGTCTCACCGGTCCCCTCCGGGCGTCCAGGGCACGTCCTCCAAGTGTCGGGTCATCGACGTGTTCTCGGACCTGGGAGGCGAAAGGGATGCGGAGATGCGCCGTTCGCGCGGCGGCGAGGGGAACCCCACACGGAGCCGGGACCGGTGACGTGATGAGACGTGTCTTTGGGTGGTGAGGCCAAACCTCCTGAGCTGACGACCCTCCAAAAAGAAAGCAGGAAGAAAAGAAAACAGAGTTCGGGGATGAATGGGGTGGGTGATTGAAATCGCTGAATACATTACATGGCATTTGACCCTGACACCGACTATCACCGACTTCCCTGAAATTGATCGTGGTTGGGTGGAGTGAAAACCATCAAAACCCACCTGTGATTGGTCTTGGGGAAAATGGTCGTCCGTTCGGGGCCAGGCCATCCATGTAAGCCAATGGTAATTCCAGCGTCAAATGCTCCAAGCTGGACACCAAATCTGAGGAGTGCAGGACCAGTTCGACGCGAACTGGAGTTCCGTACGGATCGTTCTGGACCTGAAGATCAGTACGTACCAATGAACGTGCCAAAGAACCCGCAGAGCAGGTGTAGAGTGCCTGAAGGATGCTGAGCCTACTCAGACCCTAACATGGCATCCGCTTGTAGACGAGCAGTTATAATACACTCAAACCTTTATCAATGATGTACTTAGACAAACTAAATTTGCTTCTAAAACCATTACGTATGTCACAGTATGTCTTTTGCGGATATGGAGTCAGAATATTATATGTATAGATAGGTTTTGGAAGATAAGGACTTCCTATTCTATTTCCTTCTCCAGCTGGTGTCATGCCTTGAGACCTCTCCCCGTCGGAACCGCAACGATGGGGCCCATCCATGGGGCCCATCCAACGAGGCGTTGTAGAAGACGGAGCAGCCACTGCCAGTGGCCCACACTGAGCGATCCTCTCTGTGGTCGAAGAGGCCGATCCGAAACGTTCGGACAATCCCAAGGAGCTGGTTTATGCAAGTCTCAAGTGCGATAGGTGATCTATAGCTCTGAAAAGGTTTGGTGTGGGAATCGCCAAGCGGATCAAGTGGAGTGGTCGAAGATCGCAGGTGGTTGCTGTGGCTTGTCATAGACTTCGTAGCCCTACATGCTTCGAAGGGTGACTTAGGGGAAGTTGCTCAGCCCCGCACCAAAAAGTAAAAATGGTGTCATCTGAAGCAAAACTTGTCAAGTAATCCACTGGACCTGGTTAATAGTCTTGAAGGGCAAGACTCTCCACGGTCGTCATGGTCCTAGTCAAAAATATCCAGCACATATCTCAAAATGATTGGAAAATGTGCGCCAAGAAAGTCCATGGAGCTTGTCCTATGCATGCTTGTTCAAAAGTGTTGCGATGAGGTTCATGTCATTATATAAGTCAGATCTGCCACCTCCAGAATGTAAAAGACAATTGTAATAAGTATTATATAATTGTTCACATCCTTGGGAAAACCCAGCCCTATCCAATGGGCAAAGTACATTGAGTCGTGCGATAGTTACAGTGTATACATGTATATTAATGCACTTTAAGGCCTTTAAGACGCAATGGACCCAAGTTAACTAAACATTGATCCTACATGAACTAAAACGATCTAAAATCGACCATGACAATCCTGTCCACTTCTTTCTTTACTGTCCACACTGCCCGGCACTCCTCACTCCAGGTGAAGACGTACTGACAGATATTTCCATCCACTGGGAGTGGCTGCACCACTCCACGCTCGACGAGCTCACCACTTGAAATCCGCTGCGTCGCATAGACCCCCACGCCGCCCCAGGCGTCCGGCCGTGCCTGGACGACATCGGGACGGAGCGGTCGGACCGATACCAACGGGGCGCTCCTGGCCGGTAACCAGAAGCTACTGGATCTACGGACGGAACAAGAGCACCGCGAAAGGACGTAACATCAAGGGCATTACACCAAAACCTCACCATTCAAGTGCACCTCCTACGGGCGTCTTCGTGTCGCGCCACACGTTTCGCGCGTCTCGCGTCTGGGGTCTCGCGGGACGAGGCAACGTGGCAGGGCGGGACGGTGCTGGATGCTGGTGGGGCTCGGTTTCTGGTCCAAAACGAGGATCCTGGATGTTCACCGACGAATCCAATGTTCACCATGGATGCAACTCATAGATGAATGGATCTTTAGCCTTATATCTTGTTGGTTCTACTCTCTTTACTTACCCCCCTGCCAACAACGGATTTTTTCCTGTGTCTTCCGGTGGGTCAACTCGAGACTAACTCTTCCCTACCTGCTGAGCCACCAGCTGCCCGCAACAAAATTCTCCAAACATGGGTGGAACGTGGCCACTTCTGAAACCCAGACATGCCCAGACATACCCGGCCGTTCCGGGGCCTTTCGCACAACCCGGCGAAATCGCCCCGGTCTCCAAATCTCGGCCACGCCACCTCCACTTTGGAGCAATCGATCCAACGGCTCTCCTCCCCCGCGCCGTTGGACACCTGCGCTGCGCGGCCGCGCTTCGCTCGTTTCGACCCCGGCCGCGCTCGCGCTCTCGCTGCGCCGTGCGATACGCCGCGCTCGTTGGTCAAAAAGCGTCTGGGTCGATCGGTCTTGTTGGACGAAAGCAGATCCCCCAAGGTGAATACCCCGCTTGGTGGGTCGCAAAGGCGAGCCATGCGAAACCTCTCGTGGCGATCTACCCCTGCTACTGCTACAGCTTCCCTCATGCCTGCGCAGAGGGCTGGGCGGCGAAGCCTGGGTGCAAATAACCAGGCAAGGTGAAGGGTTCAGCTATCAATTGCGGTGCCACAAATAACGCCATGACTCAAATGGAGAGTTGATTAAGGACACACCCTTACCAGAATGGATTTGACATCTCCATATGGAGTATGTTATATATATATAAAGACTCACAGCGGTTGCCTATTTTCATCTTGCAGTGCAGACCTAA